ATGCTGAGCATCTCTTTATATGCTATTTGCCATCTGCGTATCTTTTTTTGGTGGTTATCTGTTGAGTACATAGAGAAAGCATTTCATAAAATCTAGCATCCTTTTAGGATAAAAAAAAAAAAAAAAAAAAACCTAGCCAACTAGGCCTAGAAGCAAATTTCCTTAATCAGATAAAAGCTATCTATCACAAAAGCCTATAGTAAACGTGATACTGAATAATGAAATATTAAAAGCTTTCTCCTGAGACAGACAATGAAGCCAGGCGACTGCTGTCATAGTTCTCTTCAACACTGTCCTAAAGGACTCTCATCAGCATAAGAGCCAAGAGAAATAAATAGATATGGATCAGAAAGGAAGAAATAAACATGTCATTATCTACAGATGACTAGATTATGTGTGGGAAAATTTGAGAAGAATCTATAGATAACCTATAAGGGGTAATCACTGAATTTAGTAAGGTCACTAGAATCAAGGTAAATATACAAAAGTCAATTTGTTTTATTTCTATACCAGGATACAATTAGAAAATGAAATCAAAATATTACCATTTATAACAGTATAAATATCAAATGCCTAAGGGAAACCAAAGCAAAAATGAACTATTGGGATCTCATCAAAATAAAAAGCTGCACAGCGAAGGAAACAATCAGCAAAATTAAAAGGCAACCGATGGAATGGGAGAAGACATTTGCAAACGACATATCAGATAAAGGGTTACTATCCAAAATCTATAAAGAACTTACCAAACTCAACACCCAAAAAAACAAAATAATCCAGTGAAGAAATGGGCCAAAGACGTGAATAGACACTTCTCCAAAGAAGACATCCAGATGGCCAACCGACACATGAAAAAATGCTCAACATCACTCATCATCAGGGGAATACAAATCAAAACCACAATGAGATACCACCTCACACCTGTCAGAATGGCTAACATGAACAACTCAGGCAACAACAGATGTTGGCGAGGATGCGGAGAAAGAGGGTCTCTTTCGTATTGTTGGTGGGAATGCAAACTGGTGCAGCCACTCTGGAAAACAGTATGGAGATTCCTCAAAACACTAAAAATAGAACTACCCTACGACCCAGTAATTGCACTATTAGGCGTTTATCCACGGGATACAGGTATGGTGTTTTGAAGGGGCGCATGCAACCCCATGTTTATAGCAGCACTATCAACAATAGCCAAAGTATGGAAAGAGCCCAAATGTTCATCCATGGATGAATGGATAAAGAAGATGTGGGATATATATACAATGGAATATTACCCGGCAATCAAAAAGAATGAAATCTTGCCATTCGCAACTATGTGGATGGAACTAGAGGGTATTATGCTAAGCGAAATTAGTCAGTCAGAGAAAGACAAATATCATAGAACTTCACTCATATGAGGACTTTAAGACACAGAACAGATGAACATAGGGAAGGGAGGCAATAATAATATAAACAGGGAGGGAGACAAAATATAAGAGACTCTTAAATATGGAGAACAAACAAAAGGTTACTGGAAGGGGTGTGGGAGGGGTGATGGGATAAATGGGTAAGGGGCATTAAGGAATCTACTCCTGAAATCACTGTTGCACTATATGCTAACTTAGATGTAAATTAAAAAATAAATTAAATAAAAATTAAAAAAAAAAAACATCAAATGCCTAGAAGGCATAAAGGAGATACACATGACCTCTACACAGAGAGCCGTGAAACGCTTTAAGATTTTATTTTTAAGTAATATCCGCACCCAATGTGGGGCTCAAACTCACAGCCCCACATTCAAGAGTCTCATGCTCTACCAGCTGAGCCAGCCAGGTGCCCCTCTGTAAAACATGTTTGAAAAAAATTTAAGAAGACCTAAAAGAAATGCACATGGATGAGAGAAATCAACATTATAGACATGTAAGTTATCCCTAAATTGATTGCTAGAATCAATGCAATCCAAACCAAAATGGCAGTAAGGATTTTTATTCTTAGGACATTAATGAGTTGATTCTAAAATTAATATGGAAATGCAATGGGGCCAAGAGTCACCAAGATAAAATACAAGGTTGAAAGATTTATACTACTACATTAAAGACTTATTATAGGGGCCCCTAGGCGGCTCAGTCGTCTAACCATCTGATTCTTTTTTATTTAAAAAAAAAATTTTTTTTTCAACGTTTATTTATTTTTGGGACAGAGAGAGACAGAGCATGAACGGGGGAGGGGCAGAGAGAGAGGGAGACACAGAATCAGAAACAGGCTCCAGGCTCTGAGCCGTCAGCCCAGAGCCTGACGCGGGGCTCGAACTCCCGGACCGCGAGATCGTGACCTGGCTGAAGTCGGACGCTTAACCGACTGCGCCACTCAGGCGCCCCACTAACCATCTGACTCTTGATTTTGACTCAGGTCATGATCTCACGGTTTGTGGGAAGGAACCCCACGTGAGGCTCTGTGCATAGAGTCTGCTTGAGATCCTCCCCCTGCCCCTCTCCCACTCATGCTCCTTCTCTCTCTCTCTCTCTCTCTCTCTCTCTCTCTCTCTCTCAAAATAAAAAAACATTTAGGAAAAAAGACTTGTGTGGGTGCCTGGGCGGCTCAGTCAGTTAAGCTCAGGTTATGATCTCGCAGTCTGTGAGTTCAAGACCCGCATCGAGCTCCGTGCTGAAAGCTCAGAGCCTGGAGCCTGCTTTGGAGTCTGTGTCTCCCTCTCTCTCTCTTCCCCTCCCCTGCTCATGCTCTCTCAAAAAATGAATAAATGTTAAAAAAAAATTTTTAAGAATATATATAAACAAAAGATGTTATAAAGTTACAATAATTAAGACTGTGTTGAGTAATTGACCAGAATAAAGAATCTAGAAGTAGACCTGCATATACATGGACACCTGATTTATAGCAAAGATAGAGCAGCAGAGTAGTAGAAAAAGAATGGCCTTTCTTTTTTTTTAAGTGTATTTATTCATTTTTGAGAGAGAGAGAGAGAGAGAGAGAGAGAGAGAGAGCGAGCGTGCACCCGTGCGCAAGCAGGGAAGGAGCAGAGAAAAGACGGAGAGAATCCCAAGCAGGCTCTGCAGTGCCAGCACAGAGCCAGAGATGGGACTCAAACTCATGAACCGTGAGAGTATAACCTGAGCCGAAATCAAGAGTCAGAGGCTCAACTGACTGAGCAACCCAGGTACCCCGAGAATGGCCTTTCAATAAATGGTGCTGGTTCACTTGGATATGGATATTGAAAACACCAAACTTGTACATCCACCTCATACCATACACAAAAACAGTTCCACTGAATTGTAGGTCTAGACACGAAAAGTAAAATCATACGATTTCTAGAAGAAATTATTTGGGGCTAGGCAAAGATTTCTCAAGTAGGACAGATTATACACAGTAACTAAAAAGGAAAGGATTGATAAATTGGGCTATATTAAAATTAAGAGCAGAAAGGAAAATCACAGACGGAAAGATATTTACTCCACCTGTAGGTGACAAATTGACTCATTTCTAGAATGGTTTAAAGACCTCCTAAAAATAAGAAGAATCCAGGGGCTCCTGGGTGGCTCAGTCGGTTGAGCATCTGACCTTGGCTCATAGTTCATGGGTTTGAGCTCCGCATCAGGCTCTGTGTTGACAGCTTGGAGCCTGGAGCCTGTTTGGGATTCTGTGTTTCCCTCTCTCTCTGCCCCTCCCTCACTCCTGCTCTGTCTGCCGGTCTCTCTCCCAAAAATAAATAAACATTTAAAAAAAAATTTTTTTTAAGAAGAAAACTCCAATAGAAAACAAATGGGCAAAAAACTTGAACAAGCACTCTTCCAAAAAGAATATTCTAAAGGTCAACCAACGTATGAAAAATTGCTCAATTTCATCAATCAAAGGGCAACGCAAATTAAAACCACTATGTGTGAAAGATGTTGGCGATGACGTAGAGCAATTGGAATTCTCATACGTTGCTGGTAAAGAAGAAAAACTGGCAAAACCGCTCTGGAAAAATGGCAATATTGACTAAGCCGATCATCAACACATCTTAGGACCCAGCAATTCTACTCCGAGGTAGAGACAACATATATACACATATGTCCCCAAAACATGTACAAGCATAGTTTAAGAATCTTATATTCATAGTAGCCCCAAACTGGAAACGACCCAAATGTCCTTCAATGGTAGAATGGATAAATAAATTGTGGTGTATTCCAACCACGAAAAACTTTATAACAACGAAAATGAACTCATCACTGATACAGGAAACATGGAGTTAAATCCCTCAAACATGAGTGAGAAAAGCCTGAGAGCAAAAAGTTCACGTCGTAGGATTCCAATTTATATAAAGTGCAAAAACAGGCTAAAGTAGTTAATGCCATTAGAAGTCAGGATAGCTGTAGTGTTTACTTTTGCAGAGATGGGGGAAGGGACAAGATGGGACTTTTGGGTTACTTGTTGCGATTTCACGTCTTAGCCTGAAGAGCGATTCCATAGGCGGTGTTTTCATTATGAACATCCATTAAGCTGTATAACTCTGACTGGTGTACTTTTTCTGAATATGTATTATGCTTCGGTTTAAAGAAGTATTGAAGAAAGAGAGAGCACAAAGTCAAAGGATGGGAGGAAGAAAGAGAGGTCTGGCTGGGGTGGGAGATCATCAGGGACTCTAGAAGCCCACCAGGGAGATGGAAATACCCCAAACAACCCAGCAGAAGGGGGGCTTGCATTAATTTTAGGAATATAGAAAGTAAGATCTCTTTATACATCTAAATGTGAGGACTGAGATTCTTACCAGATACATGGAAATAACAAGTGTGTTGAATGGACTTCCTCCTCCTTCCCCCCTCATCCTTTCTTTTCATAGTTTCTTCCCAGTCACCACATTAGAAAGCAGTGAGGAACCACCAACGCAATCTATCTGATGTCCCTTAAGCCTCGAGGGTATGTCCCAGGATTTACTATATTCCTCTAGAATGTGTTCTTATGGGCCAAAAAGAACACATGTCAAGAGCTCTCTTGCCCCTCAAAGACACCTGTGATTAAATTCACAAGACCTTTCTGTACTTTGTTGGCTTTGCTGGAATGTTTTTTGCCAGGGTGTTGGTCTTTGTGTGTTGAGTCATCCATCTTAGCAAAGTTCTGCGACACGTTCCATTTGTTTGATGAAAAACTCTACCACGGGTTCTTCTAAGCACCTGAAACAGCAAAATACAGCGTGTGTAGGGATCATTTCACCTTCTTGTTAACCATGTTGATTGGGTTCTGGTCTATCTGCAGAAGACACTGGGGAATCTTGTGGGCAGAGGCTGAGATTTACCAAGTTTGAGGACCCTAAATCCCAAGCACATCGCACTGCCTGTAACAGGAACTCCGAACGTGTTCACTGTTGACATTGCTTACAGAGCTACCGAAGGCTTGAACTTTATAAATTTATCCACGTTCAGGTAATTGACATGCAATCTAATTCATCAGTTCTAAGTGTACAGTTCAAAGTTTTGGCAAAGGTTTACAATTGTGTCAAATACATCACAACGAAGACATAAGTATACCCATCATCCCCAAATGTTTCCCGTGTTTCTTTGCCATCAGTTCCCTCCCAACCCTGCATCCGGCAACCACTGCTCTGCTCTCTGTCATAAGAGTTGCCTTTTCTAGAATGTCATATATATGTAATCATGACTATCTTTTTTCACATAGCACAATGCTTTTAAGATTCTTCCATTTGTTGCCTGTACCAGTAAGTTGTTCCAATTGCTACACATTCTGACCACTGTCATCATGAATCAAATACTTGAGAAGAAACTTCTTCCTATTTCTTTTTTTCTTTAATTTTTTTTAATGTTTATTTTGAGAGAGAGAGATAGAGCACAAGCGGGTGAGGGACAGAGAGAGAGGGAGACACAGAATCCGAAGCAGGTTCCAGGCTCTGAGCTGTCAGCACAGAGCCCGACGCGGGGCTCGAACTCACGAACTGGGCGATCATGACCTGAGCTGAAGTCAGACGCTCAACCGACGGAGCCACCCAGGCGCTCCCCTTCTTCCTGTTTCCGAACTTTACCTGTGCAGGTCCCCCCTCCTCTGTGGTATTCTACCCTATAAATTCTAGCCTCTACGGGCTTCCTAAACTCTGATTTCTATCTCCCCAATCCAGAAAGCTGGGCTTTTTTGAGGGTACCCTCCTCCCCCGCACTAAACTGTGGCCCGGAAACTGCCCCCAGCACTAACCTTGGGCAATTGCAGGGCTCACCTTATTTCCCTTCTCTCAGGAATTGCCACACTAAGCTACCTCTTGTCTTACGTCTAAAACCAGTTGCCTCATGTCTGTCTTTATTTTAGTTGTTAACAGCAGGAGCAGGACTCAATTTCCATTGCAGTTCATGTTTCGTGGACAGACTTCACTTCTGTTTTGCTCATCTTTTTTTTCCCCCAAAGAACTTATACCATTTCCGAACAAATGGAGGACTGAATGAATGATGGCGTGCTCAACCAATCCTTTTCACCTTCAGTATTTGTTCCCCACTTGTCTCTTAGCAGCAGTTCTCAATCTTTTTTGGTTGATAAGCTACACTGAAACTTTAATCTTTAATAGAGCTATTGGCAGTCCACTCCAAGAAATTAAGAGATTCAAAGCAACAGAAATCAATAATGCTCACAGCAAAACCACCTACTCCAGTATAAAAATGTCTTCTAGGATCTATACAAGCAGCCACCATTCACTCACCACCCCAGAGTGCTGTGTTGTCTTAGTCCTCCTACTGAGTACTTAGTACTTCTATTATCTATTTCCCTAGCCACAAGAAAACTCTTATTTTTAAAATGCACTAATGGGAGGGGCGCCTGGATGACTCAGTCGGTTAAGTGTCCAACTTCGGCTCAGGTCATGATCTCATAATTTGTGAGTTTGAGCCCTACACTGGGCTCTGTGCTGACAGCTGGGAGCCTGGAGCCTACTTCGGATTCTGTGTCTCCCTCTCTCTCTGCCCCTCCCCTGCTCGCGCTCTGTCCCTCTCTCCCAAAAATAAATATGTAAAAAAGATTTTTAAATAAAATAAAAATGCACTAATGGGGTGAGCACAGCATGATGGGATCCCTGGGGGATCCCTGTGTTGTACATCTGAAACTAATGAAACATCGTGTGTCAACTACACTCAAATATAAAGGTTAACTAAGAAATAAATAAATGATAAAAAATAAAAATGCACTAATGTATAGAATTACAGGTGTTTAGGGGCGCCTGGGTGGCGCAGTCGGTTAAGCGTCCGACTTCAGCCAGGTCACGATCTCGCGGTCCGTGAGTTCGAGCCCCGCGTCAGGCTCTGGGCTGATGGCTCGGAGCCTGGAGCCTGTTTCCGATTCTGTGTCTCCCTCTCTCTCTGCCCCTCCCCCGTTCGTGCTCTGTCTCTCTCTGTCCCAAAAATAAATAAAAACGTTGAAAAAAAAAATTTAGAATTACAGGTGTTTAGAAAAAGAATTAAGCTTCCTATTATAATGGTGATATGGGCACCTTATCAAATTTTTTTGAAATATACAAAAAATTAAAGAGACTTTCTAAAACAATCCATAAAGTCACCTAAAGTCAACACTGGCAATAATGCTTTCCAGCCTTGTCACTGCATACCTGTGAAGCCAGGATGAGAGCAGGTGCAGCCCAGGTCAGAACGGAGCACTGTCCGGATGTACCTTACTGGTGCATGTCCCTGTATAACTGTTCATGACAGGATGTCATGGGCCTAGAATCTCAAAAAAGAGTAATGAAGATATACCACCTTCCTAATCGGTGGTACGTGTTTAAGCAAGTCCCAGGTGAGCGCCAGCACAGTAATCGAGAGTATCCAGTCCTGGGTTCAAGGTTGTACTCTGCCGCTTACTAGTTCTGATTCTAGACAAGCCACTTAATCTTTTGAGCCCACTGCCCCCTCCATAAAGTGAGAATGATAATGGTACTTTCCTCTCAACGTGCTCATGGATTAAATACAATGATCCACGTGATGAAAGAGATGATGCTGCCAGGCCTATGGCAGGCTTTTATTAATACTAGGTTTTGACCTACGCACAGGGATAATATATTAACAGCTTAAAATAAGAACTATCATTTATTGAGCCCTTACAGTCCTAAATACCTTGAATGGAATACTTCATGCTGTCCTTACAATAATCCAGTGAGGTATTATCCTCATTTTATAGATAAGAAAACAGCAGTTTAGAGAGAGGGGTTAGGTGACTTACTCAAGGTCACACCAGAGTAAGAGGTGGAATCAGGCTTTGAACCTAGAGAGTCTGACTTCTGCTCACTCTTAACCACTACAGCAACCTCTAAGGCAGAACCCACTGAATGTGAACCTGCTAAATTTTGGCATTTAGCAGCCTTGAGTGGGTATGGTTGGATTTTCACTCTCTTTTCACGTCAGTGATTTTCAAAATGCAGGGCACAGCCTGCAGTTTTTTGTGAGCTTTTTGCTTGTCATGTGCATGTGTGAGTGCTGGATGGCAACATAAAATGCATTTCTAGCATGGATCACATTCCAAAAGTTTGAAAGCCACTGTTCTTTGGGACTCTTCTTCAAGTATTTGAAGGCAGTTGTCATATCCCACTACCTAAAGGCATTGGACCTTTTCAGCCTCTGCAATACCTCCTTGTGGTATGGGGATTCCTCCCTTCCCTCTTCTGGGTATTGTCTTCCGGCCCCGTCACCAGATTCGTCTGGGTCTCTCCTCAAAGTTTCTTAGGGACGTCTTCCTTAATCACTCTCTCCTACAGAATACCACCCCTCTCTCTCCAGCCCGACACTGCCTTATGTTTCTCAATGCACTTTTCACCACCAAGCATCATATTTTATATGTATTTCTTTGTTTATGGTCTTCCCCAATAGAACGTTCATCACTGAATCCCCAGTGTGTTTCCTAGCACATAGTAGTTGCTCGATAATATTTGTGGGATGAATGGATACTAGGGGTAGACGTATTCTAGCCATAGTCCATATAGATGTATTCATAATACAACTGTTTCCTTTCGGAGCCACATTCTATAAGGTTTTAACTCACCTGACTATAAATACAGGCATATCTTCACCCAACTACATGCTAGAAAAAAAAAAACCCTTTATCATTTATGTTATAGTATTATCACATATTTTATACATCTATACATGCATATTAATGTGCGGCATGAATCAGTATATACTAAATCATATATACTGTTACTGTATGTGGAACTTTATAGTATTTGAGTGAGCAGTTTTGACTATATGAGATTTTTACCGATTCAGTCATATATAATGCTAAAGGTGCATCTTGAAAGTATTTTACACTTTTCAAAGCCCTCTAGGGGGAAATAATCCATTTACTATTTTTTCATGAACTGAGAAGGCATGTCAGAGAGCAGAAAGGAGCTTTAGCAGCCGGCTAGTGACTGCCAAATTCCAATCTCACCCCTTCACTTTACAATAAACTGAGGCCCAGAGCAGGGGAGACTTCGCTGAGGGACACCCAAGTTGCTGGGGAGGACCTGGGGTTAGAACTCAGCTCTTTGTCGTCCACCCACTGCCCAGCACGGAGCCCCCAACCGTTTGTACACTCCCAGAGGCAGAGGCAGAGGGCCAGAGGCCCACGCCCTTCATAGGACCTCCGTGGGGGAGGGCAGGCCGTGGTTATCATCACCAATTTAGCTGGGGGCACACCATCAGGAGGGAGCACCTCCGACCTTGGCTTTTTCTCGCCCTGGGGCACCACCCAGCTCCGCAGAAGAATTCCGCACGCACCCAGAAGGCCGGGGACCTCAGTGGTGTCCCATGGGGTGCGCCAGGTCCTCCTCCCCAGCACCCCGCGGCCCGTTCCCGGACAAGAACTGCCTCCTACCTCGTCGGGTTCCCAGCGGCTGACTCTGGCGTGCGCAGCCTCCCCGTCGCTATGGCAACCAACCGCCTAACATTCTAGAGTCCTACCTCAGCCCGCCTCTTGAGTAACTAGCCAATGGTTTCCTCTGTTTCTTTAAGGTGAAAAGTTGTTGGCCAATCGCCAGAGGCGTTTCAAAAAAAAAAAAAAAAACCCCGCAGGGAGTTTGCCAGAATTTTAAGGGTTCAGGTTAATAAGTCAGGATGGGTTGGGAAATTTAATAGGGGATTTTCTAAGTGATCCCTCAAATGTCTTGTGATAGACCAAGAGCCTTAGAATGTTACCTACCCAGAAATCTTAGTTAAAAGAATAAACCTAAGACAACATTCCTCCAAGCCCTATGTATAAAAGAAAAAAGATTGCTATGGACAACGATCCAATGGCAGACAGACGTATAGTGTTCCTTGAGCCCCTCTTTACAAGCTTCAGAACAGTCCCTGTGATCTTGTCACCCGCCAGCTCAGAACCCTCAATGGCCCCCCCTTAAATTTAGGATGAAATCCAAAGGTTTTATTAAGCCGTCCCTGGCCGGGTCCTCTGATTGCGGCTCCTACCGCCCACGCCCCAGAAAAATCTTGCTCGAGTCACGCTTTCCTATGGGCAGTTCCTACGAAATGCCAACCTCGTTCTGCTCTCTGGTGTTCCCTCTGAGTCTCTCTGCCTCCAGATCTGAACCAAATCTGGCTACTTTCTCCTTCTTGAGGGTCTCTGCCCAAATGCCATTTCTTCATCTGTAAAATGGGCATGAGCTCCACGTCCCTCTCAGGGGGTTGTTGCGAGGATCTGAAATGAGATGCATATGTGAAGAAGTGTAAGCTCCATGCACGTGTTGATTACATTTATTGCCTTCTGTACTTACGGTTGTACATTACAAGTGCTAGGCTCACTGGAGGACCTTAAGCATTGCGGAGCTGCGGACGCGCTGGGAGCGTCGGTATATAGCTCAGCCAACAGGTGTTAGGGGAGGGCCCGCAAAGGAAGATGTATATGGCCCCCAGTACTAAGGAAGGCTTTTGGGGTAGCCGGGTCTCGAGGGATGTGAAGGATTTGAATAGATGGTGAGAGCATAAAGTGCAGCAACAGCAGGAGCAAAGCCCAGGAGGCAGCGCTCCTGGCAGGCTGACCACCTGTCGGGCAGAGGGAGGTGAGCAGTCACCTGAGCTCTCCGGAGAGCGAGAGCGGGGTTTGTTCCAACGTTCTTGGTGCGGCCGCTAGAGGGGACCCCCTGCAAGTGAGCGCGAAGCTGGAGGAGGGCGCCGCCTCCCCAAGTCTCTCCCCCTACGCTTCAAGCAAGCTTTGAGGCACAGCCAATAGCCGGGGGCTGTCCCGCCCATCCCTTCCTCGCAGCCACTCGCCTGCACGAAGTCGCCGCTAGCCTCTGACTGGCAGGCGTCCTGGCAAATCACATCGCGGCCTTTGAAAGCAAAACACTGCAGCACCCTGGCCGCTCTTGAGTTGGGGAAGGAATTAAGGAGGCTGTGCCTCCGGGTTGCGCGAAGAGTCCAAGTCATTTCTCAGAAACCTCCGATAGGTGGTCCTTAGAGAAAACGCCGCAGGTGAGTAGTGATTAAGCCTGGGGGGGGGGGGGGGAGACTTGAAATCAGCCTTTGTTTTTTTCAGGAAAGGGAATGCATTTGGAATCATCTAACGCCCCCTAGTACAAATACCCTTCCTTCTTGCTGTCATCAGCCTTGCAGGTCTGGGTCTCGCTGCCTCGGAATGCTTTTTTCCCCCATTTTTGCAGGGGGCATGGGTTTGCCTTAATATAGATGATGGCAGGCTTTACCAAATCAGGAAGTGAAATGCGGTAACTTTGCCAAAATTATCCCTCTACACGCCGGCTCGGGCTTCCTGGCAGTAGCAGATGGTGGAGTTAGCAGGTGGAATGAGGGGAGGTATTCTTGATGTATACTGGCTGCTGGAAGTTGTAGTTTCCTGCTCAATGGGAGGGCAATGAAGAGTGTAACCCTTTAGTGAGCCAAAGCCCAGGAAAGGGAAAGGGCTTGGCGTAACTGGCACTCAACAAGCCGGAAGGCGAATCGTCAGGTGGTGGAAAAGAGCGTATTTTATTTATTTTTTTCAGATAAAGCCAAATCCTAATGCAAACTCTACTCTTAGCAGCCATGACCTATGGTCCTGTCATCTGTCTGACCTGCTCTGTGGGTTGGTGAAATAATTCATTGAGATAAGGGGTGGGGGGGGGGGGAGGAATGGAAGCAAGCACCTAGAATTATCTTTCCTTTCTTGAGTCAGTGACCCTGTGCTCACCGCTGGCTGTGACGGCCTCAAAATTAAGGGGTGGCTGGGAACACAGAGTTGGCCACTTGCCTCTTGGGCATATGTTAGTCCTGGAAAAGTGCTTTGAAGGCAGAAAAGGAGAATCATCCAGGCAAAGAATGTGCGCCTTACAAGGGAGGGCAATTGGCAAAGAGTTCCTCCAGAGCTTTTATTTTCTTTTTTGAATGTTTATTTATTTATGAGAGAGAGCATGTGAGCAGGGGAGGGGCAGAGAGAGAGGGAGACAGAATCCCAAGCAGGCTCCGCACTGTCAGTGCAGAGCCAGGTTCAGGGCTGGAACCCTCGAACTGTGAGATCATGACCTGAGCCAAAATCCAGTCAGATGCTTAACCTATTGAGCTACTCAAGCAGCACCCCCCATCCGAGGCCTTTAGTCTAGACTCCTCCCGAGCTGAGGGAGAGTTTCCTGTCTTTGCAGGTGATGCCTCAGAGGCCTGAGCGTTTCTGAGGCAGAGAGAAGAGCTGCTTTTTAAAAGCGAATTAAATGACAGTCACAACACCACCACAAACAAAAACAAACACCTGAACAAAGTAGCTGGTCCAAAGAAGGTTAGGAGGCCTAGGTTTCCATCACCCCATTGGCATGTCCCCAAGGCCTGTTTGCTTTCTCTGACATCCTGTGGGCGGGGCTGGGTGCAGCAGTTGTATCTCTGGAGTTGTGGTTGATGAGGCCTGAGTAAGCCATTCCATTCTTGATTGCAAACTGCATCAGGTGCTTAACAGGCCTGCCTTTAGCCAGTCAGGAGGTATAGATGGAGGTCACCATGCCAGGCCCCGGGCCGGATCTTGGCAAGGGATGAACAGGGGATTCAGCAAACGCCTTCCCAGAGTTTGTGCCCCAGTGCCTCTCCAGCTCCAGCTTGAAAGCCTCTAAGGGTCTCTCGGAGGTCTGTCCCTGGGCCACTCTTCCTTCCTAAGGCTACTATATTCAAAACATGAAAATACATAAATTTAACCCAATAATGCTTTTCACCCACACATGAAAGTATCGTGAAGAATAATTATGCTTTTCACAAGATTGCAAATACTTTACAGTCAGGGAGGTTTGATTATGGGATGTGAGTTATAAAATTGATGAGTGTACCCTGTACGTATTGTATATATATGGCATGTATATGTATGTAATTAAGGTATTGACTATATACTGAATGTGTAACCTCATCTGGAGATAGCAACAAGGATTTAATTTTGAGGCCCTTCAACAAAGTGAGACCTGGGCTAAATGGTCTTCGTGGCTGCCCCTGTGCCAAGCCCTGCGTCTCGTGTCTCCTAGATGCTGGTCGCAGTGTTAGCCCTGTGACATATGACTCCTACCAGGAACCAGCATTCCTGGGGAGAGGGCTAGATAACAGAAGGAACTGGAAGTCACAGGACAAAGAGCAACTTTGTCCTCAAGCCTGAAGCCTTGAGGCATAGCAGAGGCTGTGTCTGTTTGGCATATAGTAAGCCCTCAATAAATGTAGCATGAATGCATGAAAGAAAGGAATATTTGTGGGTAAATTAAATAATTAAACTGATAAGAATAAAATTAATAATAGCTGCCATCCATTGGCCATTTGTTATGCATAGCATTTTACATGCATTATCTCATCAAATTCTCACAACAGCCCTGTGGGGGTAGAAATGTTATTATCTGATTATCTGTATTTTCCAGCAGAGAAAACTGCCTGGAAAGTTAAATGACTTGGCCAAGGCAAACAGGTAGCATATAACAGATCAAAAGCTATTTATAACATTTTTTAAATTGAAATGAGCATAGACTTTGCAGTAGAATCCAAATTTGTATGATTGATTTTTTTTTTCTTTTCTACTATAAGAAGACTTCAAAGAAACCCTTAGCGTTGTGGTAAGGTGTTTTTGGCCAGGCCTTCCAGAACCCTAGGACCATACTTCCATCTTTCTTCTCCATTTGGTAGAAAAGCTTGACATGCATTGAAAATATCAGTCCGATAAAGTCAACGGGAATTACTGTCATTGACGATCTTACTTGAAGCCACATTATTACCCCCACTTTACAGATGAGGCACCTGAGTCTCCCAGAGGTGGTATGATCCGGTCACACAGGTCTTCTCCCAGGGTCCAGTGTTACCTCACCTGTGCTAGGCTGACTTTCGGGTAGCAGCCCAGTTCTTCCACCATTCGTGAAGATAGCTTTTCTTCTCGTTCTTTCATTCCGATATCGAACACAGGTGGTTCCTTTATTATGACAGCAGGATATTTTTTGGAGGCCTGGAGAGGCAGACAAGACAGTCTTCTACTTCTCCTGTAGGGGAGCCTATGGAAAAGGTAGGATTTCAGTTAGGATATGATGGGAAGAAGGAAGCCGGGGGGGGAGCAAAAAGGCGATTAGAAAAAAAAAAAAATTTTAACTGTTTAATTATTTTTTTTAATGTTTATTTATTTTTGAGAGGGAAAGAGAGAGCGAGCACAAGTGGGGTCGGGGCAGAGAAAGAGGGGGACAGAGTATCCAAAGTGGGTTGTGCACTGACAACAGAGAGCCCCATGTGGGGCTCAAGCTCTTAAACTGTGAGATCATGACCTGAGCCGAAGTCGGACGCATAACCCACTGAGCCACCCAGATGCCCCTAATTATTTTTGAGAGAGAGAAAGAATCCCAAGCAGGCTCCATGCTGTCAGTGCAGAGCCTAACGTGGGGCTCGATCCCATGAACCTTGAGATCACGACCTGAGCCGAAGTCAAGAGTCAAACACTTGGGGAGCCTGGGTGGCTCAGTTGGCAAAGCGCCTGACTTCGGCTCAGGTCGTGATCTCATGGTCGGTGAGTTCGAGCCCCGCGTCAGGCTCTGGGCTGACAGCTCAGCGCCTGGGCCTCCTTTGGATTCTGTGTCTCCCTCTCTCTCTCTGCTCCTCCCCTACTCACACTCTGTCTCTCTCTCAAAAATAAACATTAAAAAAAAATATTCTAAAAGAGTCAGATGCTTAACCAACTGAGCCACCAGGTGCCCTGAGGAAATGTAATTTTTAAGGGCCAGGGAAAAAGGTTTTGAGGTAGATGAGTCATGTCTTTATTATTATTTATTTATTTTTATTATTTTTTTAATGTTTGTTTATTTTTTAAATTTTTTTTTTACCTTTTATTTATTTTTGAGAGAGAGAGAGAGAGAGAGAGAGAGAGAGAGACAGAGCACAAGTGGGGGAGGGCCAGAGAGAGGGAGACACAGAATCTGAAGCAGGCTCCAGGCTCCCAGCTGTCAGCACAGAGCCTGATGCGGGACTTGAACCCAGGAACCGTGAGATCATGACCTGAGCTGAAATCGGACGCTCAACGGACTGAGCCACCCAGGCGCCCCTTTAATGTTTATTTTTGAGAGAGAGAGAGACAGAACGTGAGCAGGGGAGGCACAGAGAGAGAGGGAGACACAGAATCCGAAACAGTCTCCAGGCTCCAAGCTGTCAGCACAGAGCCCGGCCAGGGGCTGGAACTCACAAACCGTGAGACCCTGACCTGAGCTGAAGTCAGCTCCTTAATCCCCTGAGCCACCCAGGCATCCTGAGCCATGTCTTTATTCGGGGAGGCCAAAGGCATGATATAATTTTGTAAATGACTTCACTTCTCATGACGGCTTGTGTTTTGTCCTCAAAGTATATCTCCCCTTGGGTGATCGAGCTGGGCTCACTGTACTTGCATTCTTCATGTTCCTCCCCACCACCCTAGGGCGCCGCCAGGATAAGGAATCGCACCCTCGCCTGCCTGCTTGGGAGAGACAGAACCTGGCACTTCTCGGGGTGAAGGTGAGGGAGAGGCTGTAAATCAGCCAGAAGAGCCTCGAAGTCCTCCAACGGCCCCGTGAAAGGAGGTGACCCCCGCCAGGAGAGATGGTCTCCGGGTCCGGCCCCGCCTAGCGGCAGCTCCAGCTTCCCAGGGAATGTTCCACTAGCGCCATGGACCGAGCCCGCGGTGCGGCCCTGCAGCTGCGCCCGCTCCCACCCACAAGCAGCGCAGACCCCGGCGGCAGCGAGGCTTCCTTCTCCTACAAGGCAAGAGCTTTCTTTCTGGTTTTGAAATGCGGTGTTTTTCTAACCCGAGAGTAACACAGCATAGCCCTGGCTCACACGTATTTCCGGGGTCTGCGTGCCTGTTAGCGGCAGAAACAGGCACAAATGTAGGAGAACGGGTAATCCAGAAGAAAGAAACACTCATTGAAGTACATAAAGACAGGGGGTTAGAGAAAAACATAAAAAGAGAAAGAGAAATATTTTTTAAAAATGTTTAAGGTTTACTTATTTTTGAGAGAGAGAGAGAGAGAGAGAGACAGAGCATGAGTGGGGGAGGGGCAGAGAGAGAGGAAGACCTAGCATCCGAAGCAGGCTCCAGGCTCCGAGCTGTCAGCACAGAGCCGGACGCGGGGCTCGAACTCACAGACCGTGAGATCGTGACCTGAGCCGAAGTCAGGCACTTCAGGGACTGAGCCACCCAGGCACCCCGAGAAATATTTTTAAAGGGAGGTATTCCCACTTAGAAGATTTGTTTGTTTGTTTTAAATCACCTACTCTATTACTCAGAGACAAGCCTTGTTCATATTTCTCCTTCCTGTCTTTTTTTGGTGTTACGCTTTTGGGATCAGACTGCACAGAAAGTTTCGTATCTTGGTTGTTTCACGTAGCCCTATTTGTGGGTTATTTCCCCGTGTCATTGAGTCGTGATTTAACGCATACTTTTTGAACGGATTGCCCAGTAATCTGTTGAGCTGCTCTATCAAAACTTTCTGGACACATCCCCTACTGTTAGATGTTCAGGTTGTTTCTACCGCGGGGTGAGTGTAAACAGGGCTGCAGTGAGCATCCCAGAGTGCTGCTTGCGTCCCTGCTGTCTCTAAGAATTGGCTAGCCCTGGGAGAGGTGGTCTCTGCCGGGTGAGTGAGGCCACAAATGCCAGAGCATCAAGAACAGAGAACACAAGAAAATACAGTTAATGCAGTTGGCTGTGATGAATGTGTGCCAAACAAACAGATACAGAATCTAAGAAAACACAGAACACTCTCCCAGGTGAGATTTCTAATAAGTTTCCATTTCAATTACAAATTAACTCTGTTACTTATTGTAAAAGTACCTTCCGGGTGCCGGAGCAAAGGTAAATCAATCATGGTGACTCTACCAACAAGCTTAGGAGTTGAGGTGGGAGACGGGCACATGCACAGTTATGAGCGAACTGAAGTTCCGGGGGGGGGGGGGGGGATCAAGGGAAAGAAGACGCGTCCTCGAATCCCTATTCTGCTCCTTCCCATCTAAGTGCCCTTGGACATATGGCTTAGCCCCTCAGAGCTTCTCTTATGGGTAGAATGGTGGTAGTGATCCCTCCCTCCATCCCTCCTCCCTCCAGCCATGTGGATCAATGAAAAAGCACCTAGCCCACGCAGGAGGCACGCGGGAGGTGCTTGACTCACGAGTGCCTGGGGTTTACAAAGAGGAACAGAGGCAGGTGCCCAAAGCGGAGGAGCGTGTAGTTAATTGTGCCTAGGGAGAGAGACAAAAGGGAAAACTATTATAATAAGACTACAAGGCAGCTCCTGCCACCAGAGGTAAGAAGGGCAAGAAGATTAGAACAAATTGGAACTCCTCCCCCGCCTTTGACAGAGGGAAGACCCGATTGGCCAGTTTGGGTCAGGTGTCTACCCTGGTCCAATCTGTGCTGGGCAGGTGGGTGGAGTCTCACACAGCAGACAGGTTTCTGGGGCTCCCTCCTTGTACGCGGCTCTCGGAGAAAAGTGGTTATGTGGGCTGGGCAGGCTGCCCCCAAATCATCTCTTATATTTGGGGCAAGGAAAACGTTAAGAGGGCCCAAGTGCAACTTTATCAATGAGGTGAAGTTAGGAGCACGCCGTTTGAATTGCAGCGCTGCTCTCTGCCCTGGTTGTTGGGGCGGGGGGGGCGGGCCCCGTTCTGTGAAAGGGAGCCCAAGAGGCCAGCTGCCCAGAAGGCAGCATCGCAAGGGGTTGCCGGCACTGGAGGCTTGGCCTCAGCCTGGAAGCGTCAGGCCTCAGTTTCTTGTGTTTAGCGAATAGGCTTTCAGCGGAGCACCTGCTCTCCCTGCCTGTGTGGGGTGGGCGGGGCTGTATAAACCATTGAGCTCTCTCTTCCCTGAAGGAGTTTGCAGTCTGGGAGGGAGGTGGGGGGAAGCTATTTTTATCAGTGCCTTAGCCTTCAGGACATTTTTGATGCAAAAGTAGAGCTAGGAGGGGTGTTACCAGCATGGCCTTTAGACTCAGAGAGACCTGTCTTCAAGGCCCAGCTCTCTCACTGTCTGTCATTGTAACTTGGGGGAAAGGCATGCAACTTCTCTGCCGGTCAGTTTTAAATCCACCCTACATGGCGGTTGCGACCATGACCTGAACTTACAGGTGTAGGAAACTCCCCTGTCTCTACTGATAGAAATCCTACGTATTCTTCCAGCTCCAGCTCAGGTATCACCTGTGGCAGTTTTCCTGACAGGAAAATAGAGGTCCTTTATCACACTTCCATAGCCCGTTCCCAGTTCCTGTAGTAATCATCACGATCATAGCAGCAGCTAACTTGGGTTGACTGTTTACTGTATGACAGGGACTGTGCTAATCCTTACCGGGCCCCTCAAGGTAGGTATTATTACAATCCCCTTTTACGTATTAGGAAACTGGCACAGAGCGGTTAATTAACTTGCCCAAGGACACACAGTCAGTAGGTAGTAAAGCTGGGATTCGAATTGAGTGTGTGCATTGCCAAGGCCCTTGCTTTTATCCATGGCTCCCTGCTGCCTGCATTGGGCCCACCACTCTGCCAGGCCCCTTCTCTCCCTGACACCGGTTAGTAAGTATTGAAATGGCAATCCTGGGGAAGATAATGCCTCCCCTGCTGGAGAAGGTAAGCATCAGGGAGCTGGCCTGAAGCCAGGTTACAGAAGTAGCAGAGCCTGGAGAGCCAGGCAGCTGCCTCTCTTGTATTTGAATATGAGTAACCCTCAGAGCAAGCCAGAATGCAATTCATACTGAATTGTTGGCAGTTTTAAGCCCAAGGGATTGTGGGAGGTGAGTTTAAATAGCAAGTAATGACTGGTCTTGTCACCGTGATATTTAAATAGAGGCTCTTGTTGGCAGATGTAAAGCAGATGTTAGAACGGGAGATCTGAGCTGAGGTTTCACTCGGCAAGGTTTCCTACCCCTGGGACCTTTGGCTGCTTTTCTGGAAACCGTTCGCTTTTTTCCCAGAGTCGTAGCTGGCGCCAAAAAGGTCCTTAGAGCTATTGCTAAGAATAGTGATAATTTAAAAAAAATGACAAAAAATAATGATAGTAACAAGCTAGAATTGTTTTAGTACTTTTTTATGTGCCAGGTGATGTTTCAACATGTACGTTATTTCATGTAACATGACATTCCCAACATGTATGTTATTTCATGTAACATGACAATCCCATGAGGGTTTACAGTCCTCCATGTTTCAGAGGGGAAGCCAAAGCTCAGAGAGTTAAGGTAATTCCCCTGAAGTCATACAGCAGTAAGTGGCATAGGCAGGACCCAGCCCAGGACTTCTGGTCTTCAAAATCCACACAGGGAAGCTGAAGCAGAGAGAGAAGTGACCTTGATTTTGCTGCCCCACCCTTGACATTGAGGTCTGTTGAAGCCACGCCAAGAAAGCAGCTGAGTCTGAAACCTTGCTGCCTGCTTGTAGTGTGGCCCTCACCCTCCTTCCCTCTCCAGCAGCCCTTCCCATTCAGAGGCTGCACTGTGAGTACACGGACCAAAAGTCCTGGCTTGTGCCTCACGGCCACGTATATTAATAGAGCCCCCTTTCGTTTTCAAAGCGTCCCAGTTGGGTCGACCTGTGTCCTCAATATAAGGTTCCTGATAGTTGGGAGGCCTCACTACTTCCTCACCTGTATATATGGGACCAAAGTGCTGGGGACACCTGTTAAGGTCCGGCCCTGCCGCTTGCTCACTCTGACTTTGGCCATGTCTTGGTCTTTCTCGGGCAGTTGAAATTCTCCACTGGCAGGAGCCCCCATGGAGGTATTTGCCTCCAAATGAGGCTGGCCCTTGCCTCTTTCCTCCCTTCTCTTCCACCTCAGTGGACTCTGCCCAATGAAGTCGAGAGCCAGTTGGGAGCCAATTAGGTGTTGCCTCAGCGGCATCGTCCCCATCTGACATCGCGGGCGGAGGAACTCAGGATCCAAAGATATGGCAGGTGAAGATGCTGGCCTGAGGCCACCACCAGGCAGTTCTCCCAACCTGCCCCTCAGTGGGGTGGGAACCTTTTAGTCTTGAGACAGAGTCACGGAGTCCAAGGTCAAATCCCTGTTCTGGGTTAGCCATCCACGTGGACTTGTTGAACACTTCCCCCTTTAAAATGACTTCTGTGAACACACCTGGTGTGGTTCCTCTGCAAAAAGAGGAAGTCGGTGAAGCCACCCAGGCCCCACCCCTCGTTCTCTCCCTACCAGCAGACCCAGACACCCCCATTTTGCAGTTTTCCAGCTCTGAGGTTTGGAGGCGGAGCTTAACGTCAGGAGTTCTGCCGGTTGTCACCTCGACTCTGAATCGCCTCTCGCCACACACTTGAGGGCTGCTAATAGGTGTACGTTCAAACTGTGTAACCCCTGGGCCGGTGGCATCGCCTTTGCCTGACTTTCAGTGCTCACAAAATTGAATCAAGCACCACTTCACAAGGGCTTGGGGCATAATTAACGTTGATGAAGCCCTTTGAAATGCCTGGATGAAAGGGCATTTAATTATATTGCGCTGTTACTAACCAGGTCTGTCTGTAGCCAGTTATTATGCGTGGAGATTGATATACTTGTGGAAATGGCTTTTAAAAGAAACCCCAGCTGCCTGTGTCACTAGTGGGAATGTAGCACTCCCGAGGCAGGGTTGTCTTTTTTTCCTAATTTACCTGGGCCGCCTTTGAAGGGCACCTCAGAGAACGCAGTGGGAGACAGCCCGGAGGAATAGTGACCGTCGGGAGACTGGAAGTCAGACCCGGAGCGACACAGAGCCTCCCGTCCCCACCTCTGC